TCAAAAATGCACCATGTACATGCTCATGAACTTCATTTAATGTTGTGTGGTCTATTATTTTCTAACACAGCGATAAGTTATGCAAAAGCACAATTATCGGTATTCTTTGAGATTATATTTTCTATTTTTGTTACCTAGATCACATATCATAGTGATCTACGATGAAAAGTCTTGTGAATCGGGATATGAAACCAGAATCGTGTTATCATAGCTATCTAGGATGAAGAGATTGTTAATCTAGATAGAATTCCCTACCATTTCTAGAGACTAGGGTAGTGCGGTCCAGGTAACTGTGGATAAGATGTCAAATCAATCATTTCTCCTTGAGCAATCCCCAAAAATAAAACAGAAACATAGTAGAAGTTACCATGTGACAACTTTTGATATTCTAAGGCAACCTAAACTAATGAAATTTATTTAAGATAAATTTAAATTAAAATAGTCCCATATGAAATTGTGGTTTATCACCACTTGCAATCTCTTCTTTGTCTTAAATTGCTAGGGACCTAGCATGTGAACTGAGGATTTGTTCCCGCCTATACAAATTAAAGCCTTTTAGTTTTTTTTCCACAAGCCTTTTAGATTTGAGTATAAATTTGGCATTTCATTTAGAGTGATTGTTTACAGCATGTTGCTTTTCTTTGTGAAGAGAGTTTCCTGTGGTCCTTCTAGTCTTTTGAAATAGAGAAAGTCATTTCCAGCTGGTGATGAACACATCTTCATTGTGTCAATTAAGATTAGAGAGATTTGTTGCTTATGTACTCTGTTATTCTTCACAATATATGGAAAAATGTCCATAAAGGCCAATCTTTGTGCATAGATGCTATGTGCATTAGCACATAGTTCCGTGGGTCATTGAATGCATTTTAATTAAAGAACGTGCTACAAATAATTCATATTCAATGCTGTCTAATTCACAGCTAAACACCATCAAACTTTTCTTACACTCACATACACACATATACATACATATATTTTATTGTCATTGTTTATTTGCTGATCCAAGCAAATTGCTTGTGCTGCATCATCCTGTAGGGCTGGCTATGGCTCAGAAAGTGAAGCTGATGAGGAATCAGCAACTGTAAGTTTGGTGAGTGATCTTGGTAGAGTAAACCGTGCATCTACCAAAAGTGCTGTTAGACTTCAGGAAATTGGACCCAGGATGACACTTCGTTTGGTCAAAATTGAGGAAGGATTATGCTCTGGAGCTGTTATATTCAGTGAGTTTGGTAAGTTTGTTTAGTTGTCTCTTGATAGTTCTCTGTGATATCCAAACCATATACTGCTTCCTATTCTACATCCTGATATGCAGCTGCCATTTCTTTTCCATTATTAATTGTCTTCTAATCAACATTGATATGTTGATTCTTGATGCAGTGAATAGTTCTCTCTTAGCTAGTATGCTTCTTTTTGGTTATGCTTGACTGAACTATTTTTTATTAGTGTGATACTTGGATAGGTAGGTTACTTTACTCAAAGCATCCATTTTAATGATTTTTAAAAGATCATGTATTTATTAGGATGCGGAGTACTTTTTTTGTATACTAATTATGTTGCTAGAAAGATCATGTATACTCTCTTTATATACTTACTTTTTTAAAAAAAATCATGGAAATTAAAGATCATCCATTTAAAAAAAAAAATTATGAATCATCTCTACCTTAGTTTACTTACTATGTTGCTATAAAGTCTCATTATGAGTAGGTTGTGCTAGTTCATTGTGACTTGTTACGATCTATAATTATGCATTTAAGTGCTATGTCGAACTTTGTCATATGTAACAGCTGTATTTAGAATAACTTTATTGTACATTGTATTATTTAATCAAATTGGATGTGTCATTGTTGTCTAATGAACTTTTGTTTTTTCTTTAATTTTCTTTTCAAGGAAAAGAAGCTGATGATGCACATGAAGAAGAAGATCATGAAGACTAGTTTCTTAACTTGCCACACACCTACGTGATCTTGGATCAGAAGCCAAAACATGTTGGAAACATTCAGCATCTAATTTATCCTTTTTCTTGAATGTGATATTTGTTTCTAAAATTTTGCATGTTTCTGTATTGTCAAAGATGGCAATTTGGACGTGGTGGTGGTCTTTTTTTTTGGTTAATTACATGAGGTGAAGTTGGTGGATGACATGATGTTAATATTATGTGACAATGGATTTTGTATTATTTTATTTCATCCTCTGTGTCCATTATAATTATCTCCCTGCGATGCAATGTTAATCTCGGTGATGGTGGGGGTGTTTGTGACTATTAAGATTATCTTTTGTAGTTAGTCATGTTTAGTATTTTGATTTTTAAACTTAAAAAATTATATTAGTATCTTTATAGTTATAGAAGTTAAATATTTAATTTAATTTTTTTTTTAGTTGTCGATTTTATCAAGATAATTTTACTATTCTCATTTCCTTAATTAAAATGAATGAATTTGTGAAAGCTTTCGTCGGACAAGTGGGATAAAATAATTTTTCCATCGAATAAAAAAGATGAATTATTTTGGAATATTATGGCCAGTTGAGAGCTCCCAACTGTGCGTGCGCTACGCCATTAGGTAGGCTGTCCGGTAGGATAACGAAGTTTTCATAGTAAAATTTTTTTTATCAAAGTCAGATCGAGATGTTAAAGATGATTAATTATAAAAGATAATCTATAATTAACATGCGAATCTCATCTATGACATGTTGACCCGTGGGGTCACAAGGACTTCCTTCGTCGGTGTCGACCCTTTTCTTTTCTATCTTTGTTATTGACGGGAAGATATACTAGATAGGTACCAAATTATCATATTACCCTTTGATGGTTTTGATTTTGAGTTTGATTATTATTTTTAATTAAATCAATTTATGAATTAATCAGATCACCCATTCAAAAAAATATGACTTTGTTTAAAAAAGTATATATATAATTAAAATAATTTACTATTTTAATTAAGGTCAATTAAAGTAAGCTTTAGCCTATATCTCTCATATTTGAGTCCAAATAAACGTGTCCATGAACTGCAGGGAATAAATTCTAGGTTTGGCTTGGATTGTTAGCAGCGATCTAATGTGATGATTGGTGGCAGTGATCTTAAGAACTCATCATTCCTTTTTTTTTTTGGTCTACTAGTAGACAAGTCAATAGGGTAACTATAACGTTGACGGTGATAGACAATTAATATTGCGGCGACTGACATGTGGATCCAAACATTAATATAGGATTTATTTATGGCATGCAGATAAAAGATTAGACCGACATGAGGTTTAAAACATTAATATAGGATTTATTTATGTGATGTTTATGTACGAACTCTTTTTAACCCCTCAAGAACAGAAGAGTTAAGTGGCTGGCTGTGTATGGTCTTTCGTTGATACCTGAGCTGATACGTATCGTGCCCTTTCATTGATGAAACAAGTCATTTCCCTTTGAATTGATATTTTATCTTGACATTTTTTTATTTTATCTGTTGGCAAGTGACGATGATGATGAGATTTGAACTCAGTATCTTACGATAAACATGTCATTTTTCTTTGAATTGATATTTTACTTTTTTATATTTTTCTTAAAAACAGGATTCAGTTTATTTCCTTACGATAAACTGTTAAAAGTCTTTACCAACTAAATTAGTTGATGTCTTCCAAAACGTATAAAATGCGGTTTCAAACCCTTTAACTATTGGGAAGAGAATCTAAAACACTATCATCAATCGAGGCATTGAATGGATCTCATCAAGAATCTATCTATAACCTCTTGTAAGAGGACGAAGTTGATAGATATTACTCGACTCAACCTAAGGCTTTCATCATCAATCATCTTTCTTCAAGGTTCATACTCCTGTGATTCTCATAGTACATTAATAGGCACAACTCTCATTCTTCACACTAGTCTTATGGCTAATCTGCATTCGATTGTGATACTATTAGTTTCCATCTAGCTTAAAAAATGTCTCATTTAAATCGAAGATATTCAATTGCAACAAATTTTCTATCACTCATCGTAGAAAGATGATTAGAGTTCATTAGGTACTAATCCTAACTAATGATAATGTTAGGAAGACATCTACAATAGATGCCAAAACTTTGAAGTATTATTTATTATATGTAACCACATAATAAATAATACTTCAAAGTTTGGATGAACTGTGCCATGTTGATTAGGATGATTCATTAGTCGGTGCATTTAGTATTGACTCTTAAGAGATGCACAAACACCATAAGCTTTGTCCTCTCCTCGTGAAACAGCTCTGCATCGGTCTTATACTTTTGTTTCTTCCGTAGAAACTGTGTTTGACATCTCAACCAGAAGAATATTATATGATACATAAAGCAATAGAAAGAATCAGATGCAGTTCACAGAGACGCATCCAACTGCTGGTAATCAAAATCCAAGGCATTATACCCTATAAGTGCTTACGGAAATCCCTATCACACAGATTTTCTTCAGTCAAATTATATTATAATCTGCCGGCAAAAGAAGAATGAATCAGCAGACACGCCAAGAAGACGATCGTAGCAGAATTCTCTTATGTTGTTTGGATGACGTTCTACAGATAGTTTAATATCAGAGGGGCATATCATCAAGACGACGATCAACACCACCATGCATCAAATCTATGCCCCTATCCATAACGAGGGGTCATTTGCCCTCGCCCTTCCGTGAATGAACTCTCAGTGAACTGCTGAGATCAAGCGCAGGTTGGTTAGCGGATAGGCATCAGCATGTCCATATCTACGTTTGGACTCCACGATCTGAGATGTTAGAGAGTCAGCATAGGCAGCAGATGTGAAGAACTCATCTTCTCCCCTGTTAGGTTTTGATCATGCATTTTTTTTTTTAGTGCTGTCAACCTAAGCATGATTGAGGAATATTCAATGCCTACTCTGCTTTGTCTTCACCTCTATGTCACTCATCCACGATGATGACCTAAACAATGCACAAGTTGCAGGCCATTCAAAAGGTTTGCGGTTCCACCCACAGGTCTGCAAGCAACCACATGCGGTCCTCTCAGATTCCATTAGGTAATGATGGCAATTGGAACAGAAAACTTGGCACGAGAGAAAGAACCGATTAGAAGCATAGATATTGAGAGCAAATCTAAAGTATTGCTCTCGATCGGACAGAGGTTACATGATGAGAACCGCATGGCATCACATAATACTGCAAGAATTGGGGTTCTCATCGCTGAACATGCTGTTGTATGGGTCTGGGTGCTGCACTGGAGCTGATGAGTTAGCGTCGAGATTGCTGTAGAAGTATTCCGGCGGGGGAGGATATGAATACATGTAGCCCTGCGACGCTGGCTGCATTGGCGAAACATAGTAGGATTGGCTGATGCTTGGCTGTGCCGTATTGTAGCTCATGATGTACGCCGGCTGCGGCGGAAACGCCGGGTGAGAGTTGCTTTCACCTCTGACATCAGAATCGTCGATGCCGAGTCGTACGTTGCTGTCTTTCTCAGCCCTCTTCTCGCCGCCGCCGCCGCTGTGGCCACCATTATTAGTAGCTTCTTTGCTCGCAGGAGCCTTCTCGGCACTGTCGACGGTCGTTTCGGCAGGTGGTTTGGAGATCTCAGCGGTTTTTTCACCGGCTTTTGCGACCTTTTTGCTCGTGTTATCTGCGGTTTCAGCTTTGGTTTCCTTGGTCTCGGAGACAGATCTGTTGTCCGCTACAGGTTTATCAGCATCCCCGCGCTTTGCTGCGGCGGGAGAGGGAGCGGTGCTTTTAGAGGACTCTTTGCTCTCGTCCTTGAGACTGACATCGTTTTTGCCGTGGTGAAAGAACTGGTGACTCGGTTTCTTGTCGAGCCAGAGCTCGGCATGCTTCCCAGACTTCTTCAGCTTAGCTATCAGAGCTTGGGGATCTAAAGGGGCCTTGACGGTCACCATGTTCTGCCTGGCATCAATCTCGACCTCATCAACACCTACGAAGAAGGCTCATATAAAGCCCGACAGGATGAAGAAATCGAACAAAAGGTTGAGCTCTTTCTTCTTTCTACCTTTAATTTTGCTGAGGATTTTGTACACCTTCTTCTTGCATCCTTCGCAGTGGATCGAGACCTTCAACACCGAAACCTGCAGAACCAAAAGATTAGAATCTACATGCTCAAGCAAACGGTCCTTTAAATGTCGACCACAAGATACGATGGAAAAGAGAGTGTAGTAGCAGACCGAAACCTTGTTTTTGATGGCTTCTCCTTCTGACGTCATCGAGAAATTTTCCTGCAGAGAGGGGAATGATGAACTCGGGACGAATCTGCAAGAGTTAGAGAAGAAGCACGAGAGAGACAAGCGATGGCTGTCGAGAGAAACAACCAAAAAGGATAAGAAGTGGGTTCAGTGTCTTGCGATGGATTGCAAGGGGGAAGGCGAGATTGGCTTTGGGAGATTACAGAAAGCCACTGGTTTTCTTTTATAATTGGATTAAAAGCTCCTCCACCGGTTGGGCTGACCAAGCCATGATGAAAGATTGACCAAGTTGGTGGCTGAGGCCCGCCATGTGTTCAGAGCTTTGAAGGATGATCATGACGCCACTAAGTTTAATATTGTGTCTCTTCTTTGATGCGATCGAAATTTGCTTGAATTAGTTTGCTGCATATTATCAATAAAAATAACGAGTCAATTATTGTATCAGGAAAACTCGTGACGACGGAACAGTATCAGCGACACTCATCGGTGAAGAGTCAACTATCGATCGATCAACATTGGCTTCGCAATCAGATCTTTTCCTGCCTCATTTTACACGCGGAGAGGGAGACAAAGAGGTTGATGGAGGCGTAATCATTCGTGCGAGCCACTCTGTTCGAAGTCCATTCGAGCCGATCGCACGAGAGTCGTGTATCATTTGTCCATCGGTTCTCGGTGGAACGGCACTCGTTGACGCCGAGAAGTTGGTGCGAAAGCAAATACGATCCACTCGTGCAAAACGATTTCTTTTGTTTTGGTGATTATACATGTTTCTTTTTGTAGAGTCGTAATATACTTTGGAAACCATATTGAATATTAAAATAAGTGAGTACAAGAATATCCGGGAGTTCCAACAGCTCATAAATATTAAACATCCACAGAGTACTGTTAGATTTGATTTAAATGGAGCAACTATCATTAATCTCAGATAAGTAATGATCATCGTGACATGCGAATGAACCATGGAGACTCAAACCGATAATTATTGATAGGAAACATATTGACGGTCAATCATCATTCGATATCTATTGCCATACCGGAGGAAAAGGTTCCGATCACCCTTTACCTGTCTGACCCATGGACAATAGTCCAAGAGAGACTATTTAGGCTTATCTTTTTTTTATCATCCACGTGGATAAAATATCAAAAAGGAATGTTGGGGTAATTATAGGTTGTCCACTCCATGGACTAGGTATAAAAGCTAACCCTCGACACCGTGTCGAGAGACTCTTTTTTCAAGAAAAATCCATACCTAAAAAAGACCTCGAAGTGACTCAAACATCGAAGGGACTGGGTCGAGAAACTTCTCCTGATATTGGTCCTAGTATAGATGGTGCCTTGGGAGCTCGACCCCCCCACCTCAGAGCCACTTCGGACACTCATACACCTTCGAGTTTGGACCACTGTCACGACCTTAGCTGGAATTGCCTAAGGTGTGCGGCACCCTTGCGGCCAAAGACGCGAACTTAGCTTGCGTTACCTAAGTCGCGAGTCACCCGTGCGGCAAAAGACG